GCGCCGCCCAGTTCGCAGGGTACGCCCAGTTCTATGCATCTAGCACACCTGCACGACCCCCTCCGGTGCGTCCACCGTTTGCTCCACAGCAAGCACAGCAGTACTCGTTCCAGCGTCCGCAACAGGCGTACCAGTATGTGCCTGCTCAACCGCAGGTGCCTCCTCCACGGCCACCGCACTTGGCGGGCCCTCCACCGCCTCGGCCGATACCAGCTGCTGCGCTCAACAATAGCCGATGGAATACGATTCCATCTGCAGCAGCAACAGCAGCTCCCAGTACTAGTTCAGTAGCGTCTAATTCCTCCCCAGCTGCTCAGTGGCAATGGAACACAGGAAAGGCCATGCCAACTCCACGGCCGCAAGCATTTAAATTTGAACCTTCTGTGACCATCGCCAGCGCCCCTCCTCGGCCATACAAGCCATCCAAATTCCAAGACAACCCCCCTCCTACAGTCGTAAGTAAGCCTCCACCTCCCCCAGCCACCGCCGCTCCCGCCACCCAAGGAGCAACCCAATGGCCTGCCTCTCTCAAGTCGTACGTTGAACGAGCGTTCGCAAAATGCCGCACTGACGCCGACAAGGCCATGGTTCAGTCGATTCTCAAGGAGAAAATTACTGCCGCGACAACAGCCAACAAACTATGGACAAAGAATTGGGACGCGGAAGCATTGCCGTTGCAGCATGGCGCGCCGCCAGCCGTCCCCTCTGCGTTACCAATACAGCCGCCCCCTCGTCCAGCCCCGCCAATGCGCCCCCCTCCATTGCGTCCTCCAATGCTCTCCGGTGGCATGGTCCCACCCCGTCCGCCCATGACGGCCATGCATCCTCCGCCATCGCTAGGCAAACCCTCTCCATTTACCGATAGCTTCATCCCGTTAGACCAGTCCAAGGGGCCTCTTCACCACAAAAAGGCCACGAAGCGAAAACACAATGCGGACTCTGGCTTTGACGACGGCGACCACAAAAAGTTGCAGCGCCAGCAACGCTTTCTCAAAGACAGCTTCCACGCGAATGCGCATCGAACGCCTGACACGCCGTCCGGCCCGCTGCAAGTATTGAACGACGAAGGCGAATTGGATTACGACGCCATGATCATTCGGGGCACGTGCCAAAAAGTTGAAAAAGACTACTTGCGGCTGACATCCGTGAGTCCCGCCCACCGCATCGTCGCGACCGCTCACGACCGTCGTGTCTGGCTTAGGCGCCCCACCCGTCGGCCGTACGGCCCGAACCCATTCTCAAGAAAGCGCTGGACCTGGTTCGACACAAGTGGAAGGAAGGTACGTGTGATTACTTGTATGTCGTGAGCCAAATGAAGTCGATTCGCCAAGACTGCACGGTACGATGCCGCAGCGCGCACGTCCATCGTCTCACGCTCGAGCATGGCCTTGGTTTTCAGGTGCAGCACATCAAGAACGACTTTACCGTGCTGGTGTACGAGACCCACGCCCGCGTGGCGCTGGAAGAAGGGGACATGAATGAGTTCAATCAGTGCCAAACCCAACTCGCGCAGCTGTACGAGCACGGCATCGACGGCAACCGCGCCGAGTTTTTGGCGTATCGGATTCTGTATTCTATTTATGTGTGCCTCCAAGCAAAATCCGACAACTCGGGCAACGTTGGCATGTACCGCGCGTTGTCGCTCGTGCGCCCGACCGATCGCCAAGACGCGGTCGTGCGCCACGCCCTCGCGGTGCGGGAGGCTGTCTTTGCTAGCGACTACCAAACGTTTTTCAAGCTGTACCACACCCCGCCCAAAATGAGCGGGTACCTCATGGACGCGTACGCCAATCACATGCGGCTGCAGGCGCTCAAAATTATGTGCAAAGCGTACCAGCCATCCGTGCCGATGGCGTTCATTAAGTCGCAGTTGCAACTGGAAGGGAAGGAAGGCAAGGCATTTGTCAAGGAGTGTGGGCTTGTGTTGGTCCAGGGCTTGGCCAAAGCCGACGCGGCCATGGACTGCAAAGCGTCTGCAATCGTCAGCGTCCTCAAAAGCAGTGCCAAGTCGCTCCTCTAGTGCGTCGGCGGCGGCGGCTACAAGGAAGCACTCGTTGTACTTGTGTCCAGAGCGATTGCTTGGTTGGTCAGTAGCATATATAGAGACAATCGGTCCAACTCATAAATGAACGTTATGTTTCGCGTCGCATGCCTCGACACCACCGATGGTCCCCCCGGTGTCCCCACTCCAGCGCCGACAAATGGTGGCCAACATGAAGCTGTTTGAGGCACGACATTCCACGCAGCGCTCCACGACTGCGACTGGGTGGTCGAGAGCGCTGCAACTAGTGTCGCTGATGGCGGATATGGTGGGTGATGCGTGAGAAGGACAACAACGAGGAGCAGCATTTCGGGTGCATGTTGTACATGCGTTAATCGAGTGGTTTTTTCGAGGTGGTTGCAAAGGGGAGGACCGCTGCAATGTTGCGGACGCTGAGGCCTTTCTTGGTGACGACAAACTCGTGCGCGCACGCAAACTGGATCCAGTAGAACGTTCCTGCGCCGGAAAAGAGATGCCAGAACGCATGCAGATGCAGTGGCTTGACGATGGAGCAGAACTGCTGATCGACAACCCACAAGATAAACCCAACCGCGTACAGGTAGAACCCTCGCTGGAGGATCTGCGATTGTAGCAAGTCGTGGTGCGTCGTCATGAGGTGGTAGCTACGTACAAGCAGACCAATCACCTGTAGAAACACGGGTTAGAACTGCCCAAACGACGGACCGAGCGTACCAGAAGAGCATACGAGATGATGAACGGCACGATGGACTGGCGAAAGATGATCATCAGCACCGTCATGAGGGCACACAAGCCCAGGACGGTCCACTTCATGCCGGGGATGTGGCGCAGCGTGACGTAGTGAAAGTAAAAGCACCCGTACAGCATGGGCAACTCGTCGAGTTGCTGGCCCACATGGGTCAACGACGAGTGAAACGCAAACGACCCGCTGAACACGATCAACGGGACCCAGTACGCCCGTCGAATCGACGCTGGTTGATTCGACTCCAAGAACGCTTCGCTCGACTTGTACATGGCGTAGACTGCAACGGCGATCCACGGCACATTGCTTCACGAAACACGTGCATGAGATTTCTCGTTGGGTTCGGGACATGGTACCTCCACGTGTTCCACCACTCGGCAATATAGTACGACCACGCGTAGTTGTCTTCACACCTGCATCCGTGTGAGTCCGCGTCGCTCAGCATTCAAATCCCTCGCCGCACCAGTCCATGTTGCTCGTGACGGGTCCCCAGAACCCATGCTGCATCGCGGTTGCCGAGATCGACGATGCAACCAATTGTGTTTCGCAACCGACAGTCTAAAAAAACGCATTTTCTCACAGTGGACATTTCAAATGTGTGAAACAATCTTCGATCCGTTCAAACGGCAAATGGACACTTCATAGGAGTGACACGATCCATGTCTTCTCGCAGTGCCATATGCACTTGTATTGTCGCACGAGTGTTGGGGGTACCCCTTGAAACCACGACTTGGCGTCAGCGCACCGACGGGTGTAATTGGGCGTACGTCAGGGCAGTCGACCCCTAATGGTTGCTTTGGTTGGAGCACACTGGGTCAGAGATCGGTATGCTCGAGGAGGATGCGAACAAGTATTCACAGATCGTTGCTTTGGTCGGGCATACACGCATCCCTTCGGTGCTGCTTGGCTCGAGCGCGCATACCATCTCTGCGGAACATCCATCGTTTCCTTTTCAAACGTGGGCGTGTTGCCGCCGCGACCTGTGCGTGCTGCTTAAGACCATAATGATTTTGTCTGGTACAATGATGTTTAAGACACACCACGCGATGCATTCTCCTGGTGGTTCGGATCTGCGTTGCTGCTTCTCTGGACTCAAGGTCCAAGCAGTTCGAAATTGCTTCACAACCATTGACGCGCTGGATCATGTCTGATTTAAGCCATCTCATCGAGAATGTTCATCGGGACTTCCCCGAGCAAGCGACCAAACCATCCCAGACGTGTTATGTGGCAACGGGCAATCCCCGAAGCACACATTTGTATGCTGCCCGAGTCTGTTATCCACAAGATGCTCCTTGAAGTGTGTTCAAGTTCAAGAGGATCGATACAACGCTATGACCAGCCCAAAAATCGCAAACGATCCAAGAACACAGATTTGAGGACGTGGCGTCGTTTCATGTGGCCTGGGCCAACAGCACAAGCTTTCGAGTACGACATGGGCTAGCCACGCCGTTCAGATGGCTAGGAAATGGAGAACTACTGTGAAAGAAGCATGTAGCGTGCTGGAAGACGAGGCAAATGGGGTTACTAGTCGTTAGGATTGCGATGGACCTTCGGACTGCGCCGTTGAGCGGGCCAGCTGGTCGACTCGATCATTCCAGATCGACTCCCAGTCTTTCTTATCTGTGTGGGCCTTAACGTGCCGCCATAACACGACCCGTTGACCCCTGGCGTGGTTCAATTGCTTCAAGAGGTCGATATTCTTCACCCTACGGAGGACGTTGTGTGGATTTGCCATGGGTCGAAAGGATCACTTACTCCTTTCCATCTGCCTTGCGCCAGTTCTTCTTGATCCACGTGGGCAACCATTCCGTCATGGATCGAATCAAGAGCATGCTGTCGGAGAAGATGTACAAGGGCAGCCTCTGGCTCGGATCTTGGACGTTCGCTCGCTTGAACGCTTCCAGTGCCGCCAAGTATTCTGCCCTGTTATTCGTGGCAGCAGCCTGCACTGTCGGTAGCTTCTCCGCCACATTCCATGCTTCATTATGCGGGAACACGCACGCAAATGCCGCTCTGCACGACGTCTTGCCGTTGTCAAGTGCGCTGCCATCACAGAACGCCACGAGCGTCGATGGATCGCGAGGGTCGGGGTCAGGACATGCCATAGTGCTAGAAGCTCCAGGAACTTGGGTGTCATGTGTGGCTATCGAAGCCCTTGCCTCCGTTCGCGTCCGGCATGACTTGTGCCACAACGTGGCCAGTCTGTTGCGAAGCATCTTGACAAGGCCTTCGAGGCCAAGGAATAATGAAATATTTATTCAATATCATTTATTTACAAAATCCAAGAATTCTACAACCTGCAGTTATGAGCACCAACGGCATCCAAGGAGGCATACACAAACCACTATAATAAGCAACATATCTTGAATGGCTCCTTCGCCTGCTGACGCCCACTGCGCTGACTCCGTGCATGCGCTACCCCTTCCCAGGTAGATGATGGAGGGGCGTCTCGTAGCTGGGCTCATCACCGCGATGCAACTCGCGCCATCCATGGACGGGACGTCGGCACATTTCTTTGATTCGTGCACTCGACGAAATTCTGCCTCTGAATCATCCATTTGGATGTGTAGCAGAGTCGCTGCGGGAGGCGCTCGCTCTAGCACGGGTGTTGCAAGGTTGCAACGCGGGGGCATATGCATGGGATTCGTTCACATTCCACTAGAGATCGTGGAAACGGAATTGGGGTTGGCATACAGAGGACATCTTGAGTGGGACACTGGTCGAATCTCATGCTCGAGCTCCATAAGAAGTGTCTCGGTGGCAGGGTCGACAACTCGCAAAATGCGATACTGGTTGTGCTTTTCGGCTTCGGCCCACGAGTCGCAGCGGTCTTCAAAGAGCGGATTGTTCCACGTGAGCTGTCGCTCATGCAAGTGAAAGAACGACGACTCGAACTCAGAGATGTAGATGCAGATGTGGTGGCCATCGTATGGCTGGAGCTGTACGTCCGACGACACCTCCTCGAAGAGCAGCCGTTGAATGGATCCACATTCGACTGCACAAACGACTTGGCCATCGCTTGACTTCTCCATGGTACATGTGGCACCAAGAAACTCCTCATAAAACCGAGCAATGCCGAGAGCAATGCCTGATCGCACGAAAAACTTGATGTAGGCCATCCCCATTCCCAGAGAATGCGCGCCAGGTTGGGTACCGATCGCTTCGACAGCGCTGGAGTAGTCCTCAGGAGCCTGAAAACACTTGAACACATTTCGATTTGGGCAGAGCAGCTGGATATGACGGTACAAGGATGATGCATTTGCAAAATCCCACGATGCGATCGACGGCGGAAGGTGGTTCGACCGACAATTCTTCCACTCGTGCGGGTAGGCTTGCTTGGCCACATGCTCTGCAAACTGATCTAAGTCGGGGTAAAACAGGGCGATTTCCCCATTGATTCGTTGGCCCACGGGTTGGTCGGGCAAGACGTGGAATTGACTGAGCCCGATATTGGCGTGCACCATGCGTTGAACACGTGGATCGCGTGCACATCCCAGCACGTTGAGGTAAAAGATCCCAGATGAAGTCGCGTCATCTCCACTCTCTTGAATGCTCAAGTTGATGTGCTCCAACAGGAGGACGTTGCCATCCGCGGTCGGCCGACTTCGGTCCGTTGGGCGCATTCGGTCCCTGTGTCGTGGACACTTCGACAGGTAATTGATCTGGTATCAGTTCTTCTTCATTTCGGATAAATTATCCGTGCAACACATGATGACCCCTGCCGTACATGCAATTTCCAATGTACGACAAACATACAATTGAAAATACTGACATGAATGTACTTTGTACCTTGTCTCGTACGAAACATCGCCCACGTCCAGATGCATGAAGTTAAGAAATTGCACAACGGTGCCTGCCATCCACGGTTGGCATTGAATCTGGTCAACAGGCCATCTTCATGGCGCTGCTGCACGATGGCCGGCGACCAAAGCTTGTGTGGGACCACGCAGACCTGCGAGACTGGATCGCGTTCGGTTGCTTTCTGGCCGCTACTTTCCATTACGAGCCAATGCCGAAACCATCACCCATGAATCGACACCAACAGAACGATGCCGTGTCGAACGTGATGGAGGTCGTGACCAAGTGGATGGCCTTGCTAAGAACGCCGAAAGCTCCTGCAGTACGATTGCCCAAGTGCGTCCTGGGCAAGGACAAGATGACTGTGTCGGGGAAGCCGATCCCGTTCACACGATCCATGTCGAAAGTCGCGCGAACACAAATTCACGTGCTCCCGACAATTGACGAGCAGTCGCTGGAAGTTGAGTCAATGTAGTTTGTCGAGTAGATTGTGCTTGTAGCCAAGGCACGAACAACGTTGCAATGTCGAATACCTAATTTGTCGTAGGCGCCGCACCAGGAACGGTACTCTGGGCTATTGAAGGTAGTTTTGCTTGCTCAGGCATTCCGCGTGATGCTGGGCTGTGTTCCATGGCCGCACATCAGCGACGACAACGTATTCGAGGTGTGCAACCGCATCGAATCGGTGGCAGAATTAGGCGAGCACACGGCTCCGATGTCCCTTCGAATGCCGGTTTTGATTGGATGAAAAGGAAGAGGAATTCTCTTTTCATTCGTGATTACTTCGGTAAATAGTCCAATGGATTTTCGCTATGTAATGCAATTGCCCCGTATTGATTCCACGATTCCACGCGGCAGGACGAGGGACATGATGGAAGATGTGGCGCTGTATGCGATCGGGCTGTTCCAGGTGTGGTTCACTCCTTACGCCAAAGTAGAAGAATCGTTCAACTTGCAAGCCTGCCATGATTTGCTCTACCACGGCGTGAACCTAACGCAGTATGACCATTTTGAATTTCCCGGTGTCGTGCCACGAACGTTCCTTGGTGCGTTGCCCGTCGCCCTGCTGTCGTCTCCGTTCTTGCACTTTCTTCGCCCGTCCAAACCTGCCATGCAGATCCTGGTGCGCTCGTCCTTGTGGACGTTGTCATTTCTTGCGTGGCGCACGTTCAAGCAAACGATCTCAACACTCCACGGTTGCGACACCGGCGTGTGGTTCACCCTCGTGTCAATGGTGCAATTTCACGTTGTGTATTACATGAGTCGCACGTTGCCCAACACTTTTGCATTGGTAAGAAATCGGCGTTGGTTCTCGTGCATGCGCGACGATCCTGTAGATGCTGGTCTTTGTGGCGTACAGCTTTTGGATGAAGGTATTGTAGTCCTCTTGGTCAAGCTCCAAACATTCGTCTCAATGGCATGGGCACAATAGAACCAGCCCAAGGCTTTTATCGCGCTCATGAGTATTTCCACGATTGTGTTCCGAGGTGATACGGCTGTATTGTTTGCTCCAATTCTGCTCTCGATGCTCGTCACTCGTCAGGTCTAGCCCCACGCGCCACACCAGGCCACCACCCGCATGACGCACATGCATAGATTTCGTTCGTCATGACTATTGCCACTGGTGTGCTGTCGACAGTCGTGGCACTTGCAACCACGATCTTTGTCGATTCATTCTTTTGGTGGGAATTCCTATCGTTCCTTCCGGTCAGCTGGAAAACTCACCCTTCCTACTCTAGGCAACGGTGGCTGTGGCCAGAGGGAGAAGTCCTCTGGTTTAACACTGTGCTGAACAAAAGCCACGAGTGGGGCACCCACCCGTTCCATTGGTACTTTGCGTCAGCGCTTCCTCGCATCATGCTCACGACCGTGCTGCTCTTGCCCCTCGGGGCCACGTACGCACCACAACTTCCTCCGCGTTCAGCCTTCAAGTCCTGTCCCGGTGGTGTAGATCTCTGGGCTCAGTTGTCAGTGGCTCGAAGTCCATTCCTGAGATGATCCAGACCTTGCGCGCCGCAGCTTTTGTGGATTCCGCCACCTGCAAGTATTTTGTTCCGGTACATGTCGTCCTGCTCCCGTGAATTGAATTTCATCGGTGGTGCTGGTGGTGGTCGGGCTAGGTCGTCCTGTACGTTTTCCTGTTCTCGTTTTTGCCGCATAAGGAGCTTCGGTTTGTGCTGAACGCGGTCCCGATGCTCAACTATGTGGCCGCTGTTGTAAGTCATCGCTCCGACCTGAAAATTTCTTTCACCCCTCACCACTCTTCTGCAATGTGATCATTATATGTAGGGTGCAACGAAGGTCTGGCGTAATCGCACCAAGGTACATATGCAACATCCTCGTCATCCAGTTACGGCTAAGTCAAGGAACGCCCTCTCGCAGAATCGGTGGCCAGTGGTCGTCGCGCTCGGTAGTATTGTCTTAACTCTGGCTGGATCCGTTGTGTTCACTCTCGCGTCGCATGCAAACTATCCTGGTGAGTGCTTTCATTCGACGAGGGACCGAACACCCATTGCATTCACATGGAATTTCCAGGCGGCGTGGCCTTTCAACGGCTTCACGAGCTTACTTCTACGGTCCAGCACATTCCAAAGACGGTGCACATCGACGTTGCAGCAGCCATGACTGGCGTGTCTCGATTCGGCGAGCAATCGTCGACATGGACGTACGACGTGTCGATGTTGGACGCCTCTCTCATGCATTTTGGGCAGGTACGTCAAGACCGAAGGGTTCAATACGACGGCGCATTTTGCGCCGTTCGACTACCTCTTGACGGCCGACCCGTCGCATCCGTCCAAGAAGGTGCGAGGATGTCGAGCGGACGTTTTCGTTTTACGGAGATGCGTAGGAGTTTGTCGTGGTCGGTGTCGTCGACGCCTTCGACCGCGTTGACTTTCGTCGGTTGGCGATTGTGACAAAGGCGCATGTGTACATCCTGCAACGCATGGAATTGTAAACCACGCCGTCGACCTGTCGTCGGTGGAAATAGTCCACTTTATCGTCGATTATCAAAAGGATGTTTCTGCGTTTGAGGTGTTGCTATCCCTACAATGAATGGCAACGATATACATGCCGCGCTCGTCCAGACACACGTGCGAGCGATCTGACAGCGTTCTTACCAACTGTCGGGCAAGGGAACGCTTCATCTCTGCTGCCCTGGAGCTCACAATGCAATAGCCCGCCGATGCTAGCTCGCACACTCTTTGGCAGGAAGAATCGCTCCAGCATGCAGCGAGGGTGACCCCATCAAGGCATCCATCTCAACAGATCGAACGTCACGCCGCAAGGACAGCGCGACGACCGTTTCGTGTCGGTTTCATCGTGTCGTTTCAGGCCGCCCACGAAGGATCTGCTCGAGGCGGTTGGTGAAACCGCAAACGGCACGTTTATTTATAGGGCGGCGCGATGTCCCCAACCGCCTCAGTCGATCGTCACTTCGACAATTCTCTCGGCAACAACATGCCTCAACCACAAAAAGGAGCTGGAAGCAACAAGGGTGTGCACACCAAGGGTAAGGGCAAGGACCAAGACGCTGGGAAGGGTGGCAACCACCGCGGCGCGGGCTCCAGCAAAGGCGGTGCTGGCAACGGAGGTCGCTAAACAAGTCGAGGCTCTCCATGGCATACATTGCGACCACAGATCGATCCATTTCCCAACACTCTAGGCCACGACGCTAGGGCCAACAAAATATATCAATTGAACACTCCTTCAAATCTCACCTCGTTATTTATCCTGGTTCCCCACTCGGTGTGAGGATAGGACTCTGGGCTTGTCGCATGGCATCATGGAGTACAGATCCGTCAATGCGAGGAGCGGCCATGGGTGACGGAGACCAAACGCCTGAGCGCTTGATTGGTGTGATGTGCAGCGGTTCGCGTGGCGAAGTGGACCCAGCCCCGTTTGTGTCGCGCCTGGAACGATTGTTTTCCTGGAGGCTTAAAGGTTGGCCGGAGCACCCTCGCCCCCGAAAGAAGCGGACTCTCGCTTCACCTCCACCTTCAAGAATCATGTTCAGACTAGCGACATTTCGATGGACCTATTTCAGTGTTTGACAAGGACGACGAAGGACGCTCGAGGACAACTAAGCCCCTCAGGAGCGCTCAGCATGGACGTGCTGGGATCGAGTAACAGTGACGACTCCTAGATCAGGTACACTGCATGCTAGCGGGAATGCATCGCCGCCGTCCGCTCGACCTCACAGCATCATACGGCACGATCGCGCATGCGATTCATGTCGGATTAATAATTCGTGGCCTTTTTATAACATTCGGATTTTCCTGTACAAACGTTGAATAAAGTCAAGAAAGGGTCCATTATATTATTAATTGAATATCGCGTGATCATGATTCTATTACATACGGTCGCTCGACAAGCAATGCTCTGCCACACTTGAACTTTTCTGATGAAGTACCTCGTTGTGCCTGCCGCGGTGGCTGCGCTGGCAAACACACTCGGTGCCCAAAAGATAAACGGATGGTACCCTTGCAACCTCCGCACGTTTGCCACACCTGCGCCGGCCCCTTCGCCGACATCGTCTGGCCAGGCCAACAATGTCGAGTCTCTGACCTTGCGTGGATGGCGATTTGACGACCAGAACCCTGCAAACGCCATCTTTCGTTCCCTGATAGTGAATCCCGCGACAGATATCTCCATCACGTTGGGTGCGGCTGCCGCGACAAGTGCTGAATGTGCTGAGATCACGATGCCACTGTGCCATGAAGGAATTTGCGCCTCCAACGGTACAATCAATGTGTTTGTCAAGCGAATGCGAGCCGCTCGTGGTCGCAGCAATGCCAGCGCCAAGTCTCTTTGGGTGCTTCAAGGCGGCCCTGGCGCGTCCTCCGTCAATAGTACGCCGACTCTTGTCTCTCGATGGCGTGCTTCGCTCTTGACTGGCTAACTCGTCCGCAGTGGAAGGGATCATGGCCGCGCTGTACGACGCCCCAGGCTCGTACTTGGGCGGAGCCGTCGATGTGTACACGATGGACCATCGAGGCACTGGCCGAAGTGGATTGTTGTCGTGTGTGGCATCTCAAGTCGAGACGTCCGGGAGCCCGACCAAGGGCAGCGTGAACTCGCAGAGTTTCCCCGCCTGCATCCAAGATGTCAACACACAGCTGGGTGACGATGCCGATGGTAATTGCATAAACTTGTAGCCCTCACTTCCAACACGCGTGTGTTTTCTGGATACAGTCAACTTGCTCAAGGCGTATTCGACCACAAGCGCCGCCACCGACTTGTCGAACCTCATTTCGCTCTTCGGCACGACGGGAGGCGAAACCACCGTGTACGGCGTCAGCTACGGCACTTACCTCGTCCAGCGACTCATGCAGCTTGGAAACCCCAACGTGAAGGGGTATGTGCTCGACGGGGTTGTCTCTCAGAGCGGGTCCAAGGTTGGCGAAAAGGTGCTTCACGCCTTTCCTCGTCCTTGCTTTGTGTTGACGGTCGCCTGTAGCTGTCGTTTGCCGACTGGTCTGTCAACATGAACGAAATCGGCCAAACTTTCTTGGCGCAGTGTGGAAAGGACGCGTTCTGTAGCGCTAAATTCAGCACCTCCACCATCCAAGACACCCTCAAGAGCATCTATACGTCGCTGGATGCAAAGCCTAAAGGCACGGCATGCGGGGCCTTCCTGCAATCGCTGAGTTCCATGCCGCCGTCATACTTGCTTCGCCAGCTCTTTGGCCAGCTCTTGCAATCGCAGGCCGTACGCAGTTTCATTCCGGTTCGAGGGCTCTCCTACGCCGCATCTCATTCTTTGTTGTAGGTCCTCATCTACCGCATCAACCGATGCAACTCGAACGATGCGACCGCTGTCTCGAACTTCATCACGGCGTATTACAACATGTACAACGCAACTCCACATGTACTCTCAGTCAAGGACGTGACATGCACGTGAGTAGCATAGGCGCCTCCGATGAGTCGGATGCGTTGGACTCGAGCATGCTGTACAACCTCGTGGCGCTCTCGGAGCTTTTCACGTTCCCAACGCCGACCCGCGCAACGCTGCAACAGCGATTTATCAACACATCGATTGCATCCGACACGTCCAACCTGGTGACCATGTACTGCCTGGCCAGCGGGGGCAAGGACCCTGGCTGTGCGTCCGAGCGGGTCGCTCCGTCCAAGTACCGGTTCATCTACCCCACGGATAAGTACTTTGACGTTCCAATTACGATCCCGGCTGGCACGTCCGTCCTCCTCATGAGCGGGCTCCTCGACCCACAGACGCCCCCCAAGTTTGCCAAGTATCAGCTCAACAGCTTCGTCGGGACGGCCAAGAAATTGATCGAGTTCCCCACGTCTGCCCACGGAACGATCCTAAACACACCCGTCACGCTGCAGGTACACTTCCATCGTCCCTTTTGCGCTTGACGGTGGTCTGGTGTTGCAGAACAAGGTCCCGTGCGGGACGACGATTGTCAGCAGCTTCGTCGTGGCTGGGCTCGATAGTTTGGACGTGACGTGCTTGGATTACTTGGCGCCGATAGCATTTACCGTCAAGTCGTCGTTGGGCCAGCGACTCATGGAAACTGATGACGTGTACGATGGGACCCCGAACAAGACTATTGCCCCGCGCATTCCTTCCCCCTCGAGTACCGACGGCGTGCCAACTTCGCATGCAGACAGCAGTAGCACGTGGCGAGGGGTCGCCATTGCAGCTATCGTCGTGGTTGTAGCGCTAGTCGTCGCGTTTGTGGTGGTTGTGGTGCGTCTGAGGCGCCAGGCCCGTGAGGCCAAGGATGTTCCTGCGCCCGAGTACGTCCTCAACGACCAGGGGGCCGCATAACCACTAATTCACGCTCTTCCTCCTGATATGTCGACGTCGGCGCTGTCGCCAACGCGGTGCGGTCAGAATCAGATGGACATTCGTAGAAGGAATACATACATTCCGTTTCGACCAACCACATTGCGCCAGCTCGATCTTGCGATTCATTGACACGCTGGCGCCACTGCCGCGAACAACAAAGGTTGTGTGTCGAAGAGCCCCTCCATCCCGCTCCATTTGAGGAAAGCAATGCATGCTCAAGGGGACAGGTGCCCATCTCCGACTGCTCCATGGCCGGGAAAAATACGCGAGTTGACAGGAATGTTTGTCTCGTCCATGTTTTGCGCGCTGGAAGGACCGGACAGGGGGCCATCGAACACGAGCTGCACAACTGGACGAAGAAACGCGCTTGAGGGCAAGCGGCCGTGTGATGAGTAGTGAGTTGGAAGCGTCGGAGGCACGAGGGGGGGGACGTTTGCTGTGCAAGCATGTGACGTGACGGGTAGAACGACCATCACTGTACTTTCTGGGCAAGGTGGTGGAGAATTTATTTTAATATGATGGCGTTGCAGGACAGTATACAAACCATCTATGTATCGACCCAGCGTTTCTCTTGTGCGCTCGAAGAACAAAACAGAATGTTGATCGTCTTCGAGAAATTCCCGAACATTATTGTGGACGAATGGCGCGGTCGACAGGCATTTCTAAATTCATTGTAGAGGTAAATGGTTCTTTAAATATTCTTTAAATTTAAAAGAACAGATCAATGTCCCGATCGGCCCGTTGGCTGTCGGAATACCAACACGAAACATATGAAAGAATGTATCGGAGATACCGTTCAGAGTGACTGTCGTTTGGATGGCGCACGATCTACAGTTGCACTGAACATTTCGGGATTCGCCAGAAGACAGAGAACCAAGATGAGCATTGACGCGCTTCCGAAACGACTAGGTGCTCCGCCGCAGCTGGATCCGCGCATCATGCGCATGGACTCCTTCCAGGACGAGAGTAAGAATATCCCGACCAGCCTCCACATCACGTCCGACTCTGTATCAGATCAACACCAGCCTTTCTTCCTCGAGAAGGGCCTCTTCGACATGGAGTTGGACCCGTTCAACTTCGAGCTCGACGACTTGGACCTGACAGACGACTACGATGAAAACTCGGCACCAACTGCCAACGTCAACGCCCAAGTTGTCAGCATGTCGCCAAGCATGCGCAACGTGCACATGGGAGGGCTTGCCACGTATCCCAACCAATACCTCAACTACGACTGGGCTATGATTACGCAGAAGCGAGAGCTAAGCCAAATCGCCCCACTCCCGTGCACATTCGACGACGAAGCACCCAAGAACGACGACAAAGAAAAACAAAAGCGAATTCCCTTTGCCCCCTGCATTGCGGCGCATTCAAACAGGGGCAACGCCCAACGACCAAGTGTCACACAGCGTTTACCAGATCCTGTCGTCAAGGAAGAGTCAGTCATCAAAGCCGAGCCGCTGGTATGTCGATTGACCATTTCCGCACAGCCGTTCACACCCAGCGACTCAAGCGAGATGTCTTTCTACTCACCATCTGGCGCTGCGCGAAAGATCTGCCTCCAAGCAGGGTGTTCGAACCGCGCCCGGTCCCACCAACGATGCAAGAAGCATGGTGGTGCTCGTCAATGCACGTTTGATGGGTGTGTCAAGAACAGCCAAAGCCGCGGATTGTGCATTGCCCACGGCGGGGGCTCTCGATGCCGCTTTGAAGGCTGCAAGCGCGCATCCCAATCGCGTGGACTGTGCAAGTCTCACGGTGGAGGAAAATTTTGTGCTGTCGGGGGTTGCAAGAAGAAGGCTCATTTGAAGCAGCTATGCCGCATGCATGGCGGCGGCGAGCGGTGCAAGGTGATCAAGTGCTTGAAGTGGGCACAGAAAAAGGGGTGGTGCATGGCCCATGCCAAGGAAATGGAGCACTGAGCATTTCGTCCGACAGAATTGCAAACACAATGTACACCATGCCTACACGACGCGACTGCCGACTCCACTGCCGCGGCGCTTCCATTCCCTGGTGCCATCCAAATACGAGCCAGCCCCCACCCTGCATCTGATGATTATTGAAATATGCACCCTCGTCGTAGTGCAGGACATGTATGCTATGAACTAAATTGTCGCGCGGTTGACCTCCAAAGCCGACCGCCGGCACTTCCTTTGCTAACATTCAGCGACGGCGCTGATTTGTTCGTGTCACCAACATCATGTTCAGGCTAGGCTTGCTGGTCCTCCCCACGAGCTGCTCAACCCCAGCGCACACTTCCATTTCAATCGTGAGAGCGAAGTCGCGTCCGCTAACTGTAGAGCTTGCAGATGGGGCAGCATCATTTCTTGCGGGTATGAAACAGACTGGTTGAAATCTCTGTGCCTTGTAGGTGGTGATGGTGCATTGTCAAACCGTTTCGAGTAACTAGGCCACGAACTGCAGAATACACGGCAGAGCCGGGTGCCGTCGCGAAGCTTGGGTGGCTCCCATCGTGCCGATAAGCCCACAGGATATGGAGTATCGTGATGCTCAACACAATGCCTCTCCAGAACGGCGCTCGAACGAAATGCCTTGATAGGAAGAGGTAATACCCTCCACGAGTCTTGGTGAATGGCTCGGACAACTTGGAGCAACTGGTTCACTTTCTTTGGCTAGTAGAATCACGTTCGACTGGAGGGGCATGACTGCAGGGGAAAGCCTTGCCCACCGGACACGCCGACGCCGCCAGCATCAATCAGCGCGGGGAAATTTGAGCGTTTTCGTGGAATGGCAAATACTGGACTCGTTTTGACCACGTTTCGAAGCAAAAAGCCAAAATTGACCATCTCGATTGCGCACTAGGACTATTCTGACTTTCGTACGACTCGCCAGCATCGTCATCACCTCTGTCGCGCAGTCATGGTCAGGTGAAGAGTGTGGAGATGGCGGTGCATTGCACTTCATCAAGCGTGTTGCTCAGTCAACCCAACGGGGTCCGTAGTTTTGGCATCGTGCTCTCATGATGTGTTGCAATAGATCAAGAGGCTATACAAACATAGTTAATTTGAGCGAGCGGGCACTATGTCGAATGTTGTTTTCCAGCAATGCCGTTTTACGCTGTTGCAGCAGGACGGTCGCGCGGCATCTTCACGGCATGGGACAACGGAGCCAAGGAGCAAGTGACGGGTTATCCATCGGCCATATTCAAGAAGTTTAACACTGAAGCAGAGGCTGAACGCTTTCTAAATCAGCATGATAACGTTGTACTTCGGAAACGCCCTCGCCTGGACGACGGCATTCCAAGCGAAGCCACGACTGTCGCTCCATTGCGCACGCGCCAACGAACTGATGCAGCTCCACTGGGAAATGGAAGCGCCGCTCGGCGACAACCCCACTATGTGGTGTCCAAAGGCCATTCGACGGGCGTGTTTGCAACATGGGGCGACGTTGAGGGTGCAATATTAAACTTTCCCCAGCCTGAGTTTCGCAAGTTTTCCACGAAACACGACGCCGACGCGTACTGGGCCCGGCATCGTCCCGAGCCAACTGGGTCGATCTTAAAGACGGTCCCTGTGGTGGCAACGTCGTCTCGCTCTCAGGCGGCGGCTTGTCCTGCGCCAGGAACAACGAATGCTCCACCCACGAAGTACTACGCATTGGCGAAAGGTCGAAAAGGCGTTCGCGGGATCTTCTCATCATGGGCAGACGTGGAACCCCATGTTACCAACTATTTCAACGCCACGTACAAGTCGTTTTCGTCGTTGGAAGAGGCGGAAACGTACATGCGTGCCCAAGCCGCTGTCGCGGTCGGAGGAACGATGGGCACCCTGGCCACTGACCCAGATCCCCTGGACCCTTCGACACTCGTGGCTTTCTGTGATGGAAGCGCCATCGGCAACGGCAAAGTCTCCTGCAGGGCAGCGTTTGCGTGTGTGTTTCCGCACAATGAATCGTGGAATGTGGCGGAGAAGCTCCCGATGGGGCAGGCTGCTGCTGCCACCAACAACAGGGCTGAGTACTTGGCGGCGCTGGAAGCGCTGAAGCGAGCAAACATCCAAGACCCGAGCCAAATCCAACCGCTGTACATCTTTTCCGACAGCATGCTGCTGATCCGATCTCTTACGGAGTGGCTGCCAACATGGATCAAGAACAACTGGCGCAAAGCAGACGGCGAAGCGTACGTCATGAAGAACTAGAGCCAGAACAACATCACTGTGTTGGATGGATTTTAGGGTGAAAAATGTCGACTTGCTCCATCAATTGACGCTGACAAGGGGCAACAGGCGCGTCCTGTGGCATCATGTCAAGGCCCATACGAACAAGCGCGACTGGAAATCCATTTGGAACGACAAGGTCGACCAGTTGGCGCGGGCGACAGCACTGTCCTAGAGCCATCCTTTCGAGTTTGACCGTCTTGAACAAGACAACACTCGGCAGCAGTGTGTGCGTCCTTCGCTGTCCATGCAAGTTGTGCCGGCAATTCCGCGAACGTTCTTCATGTGGCACGTTGTCGCCAACGCAGACGTCATTTGTGTCGGTGCAAAGTGCACTAGGAATGCCATGGATGTGTATAAAACCGTTCACGCCGACTCTCGATTCGGAGCACTGGCTCAACATGGCCTGCAGACTCTCCTCTCTCGATCGTGTTCGTGGTGGAAGGGGCAGAGAAAACCATCGTGATAGCTCTCCAGTGATACAGATATTCACGTCGTGTCGAAGAGCTAAACAGTCGATGGCGAGCAACGAGAGACTCGTGCTACAGTGTCCACATCCCGATGCTTTAGGAATTTGCCACCGTGACGGCGCCCTTTCTGGTTACCCATGCAGCTAGCGTGTGCATACAGGTTGCCTTGGCCTAAACAACTGACGCCTCCGCGCAGTCCATCGTGTTCGCATCACGACCACTCGCTGCTCCCGTGCCACCGGTGGGTTCAACTTGCGGCGACATGCATCGGATTCCTGCCTTTTGATTGGTCCAAATACTCAGCCAGTCATTGGCTCAGAAAGGACACCGACGTCGTTATCCGGATGACAGTGGTGCGTGGCAGAGAGACTAAAGGTCACAGCCGCTCCCTCGGATCCTCCCAACCGTGCCGATGGCCCCACGCTCCCCCGACGACATGGCCGCGCCGCCCAAGGACATGTACTTTGGAAAGTACGTGTCCCAGGTAGGTTCCAAGAACCTGAAGCTGTACACGTACAAAGGAACGGACCATTCGCTTATCTACAAGCATGTGCTGACCCCGATGAACAACTACCTCATCCAGTTCATCCCGCTGTGGCTTGCGCCGAACACGGTGCGTACGATATCATTTACTTGCATCCCCAATCGTCAGCATCGCGTCGGTCGTAGATTACATTGTTGGGACTCATCGCTGTCACGGTATCCCACGGGATTGTAGCGTCGCACTGCCCCAACTTGGAAGGCGACGCCCCGACGTGGGTGTACGTGTTCTCGGCCGTCGCGCTCTTCTTCTACCAGACACTCGACAACCTTGACGGAAAGCAAGCCCGGCGCACTGGCACGTCCAGCCCGCTCGGCCTCCTTTTCGACCACGGATGCGACGCAATCAACTGCACGGTCGGGAGCATGACGATGTCGGCCGTGGCTCAGTTCGGCGTTGGCTGGAAGAGCGTACTCATGGTGTTGTGGATCAATTTTGCGTTTATCGGGGCCACGTGGGAGGAATACTACACCGGGTCGCTCGAACTGCCCATCATCAACGGGCCGACGGAAGGTGTGCTCATCGGGGTCACGTTGAAGCTCGTCACGGCTGCGTTGGGCACGGGCTTCTGGCGCGAAGAAACATTCGTCGACGGTATTCAGAACAACACGTTGTTTTTGTTTTTGATGCTGGCCACGAGCTCCATCACGGTGCTGGGCAAGTACGTCGATGCACCTCCATCGTTGTGCTCGTCTTTCTTGGGCTCAAAACTTCTTTGATAGCATCTACAACGTGGCGCAAACTGTGTCCAAGCAAAAGAGCTCGCTGGTAGTCGCCATGACACGACTAATTCCGTTCGCCTTGTTCAACGGCCTTGCCATCTTCTGGGCACTCCACTCTCCGTCGAACGTCCTCAGCGTGCACCCGCGCATGTTCTTGTGGACGACCGGGCTCCTCAACAGCAAACTTCTGGTACGTCCCAGCCATGGTCGTCCTCTAAAGGACTCCCGTGATGACGGCGTCGTCGTAGCTTCACTTGATGCTCGCCCACTTGTGCGAAGAAGAGTTCCACCCGTTCCGCAAGACGCTCGTCCCGCTCTTCTACGTGGCCGGCCACTACATTTTCTGCCATGTCCAAGGCATGCTCGTGGTCGGGCAAGAGGTCGAGTCGCTGCTCGTCCAAGAGTTTTTTTACATTTCGCTCGCGTCGTACGTACACATTGTGTTCACCGTCATCATGGAAGTCAAGACCGTCCTGAACATTCCCGTGTTCACCGTGCCTGCGGAGAAGCAAAAGGCCCGGTAGATGTCACCCCCTTGAATGCACGTTCGTTCGCATCTCTGGTCTTGCATTTGGCTAATGTCCCTCTGGACACACACACAACGACGCGAGCGACGTGCTTGTGCTTTTTTCTTTCGCCGACAACGACCCCCGTGGCGAGTCGTGAGGACGTCACTTTGGACAACAGTACCAACGCCACTTCAGTCTGGACGGCGTTTACAAAGTCCACACGCACTGGCGACGTATGAAGTGGTCGAGGCATTGTCAACGACACCGACGTCGAGCGTCCACGGAAATGGGAATGGCAACATATTTCGCAGCCGTTTGTAGTCCAATGGACCAGTTGTACTGACGCAAGTCGTCCAAGGAGGCACCGCATTGCCATCTTCCCATATGCACAAAACGTCGTGCCGCCAACACAAACGGTTGCCACGTTAGGCAAGGCGGTGGCGCTGACGCATATTCTCCGCGCGCCACATTCCAACTCGGAAGAGTACTATACGTATAGGCAATATATAAAATCCATTCGAAGTTCGTCGCTTCGTTACTCGGGTTCATCTAGAGCACATTCCAAGTCGGAAGAGTACTAGGCAATATATAAAATCCATTCAAAGTTCGTCGCGTCGTTACTCGGGGCTCATGTAGAGATGTTCAATGTTGTCTTCTTCGTAGGTCGAAAGCAAGTGATACTGCATCTCGACACGTTCTTCTTTGGCGCGGACGTCTTCAAATACCGACACAAGCGCAATCACGCTCAAAAAGAGCATCGCACACAGCGCCACTTGATGGACCCACAGCGTAAAGAGCCCGAGGATGCCGCTGCTGCACCACGTTGCAACCACGTCCTTGTGGGTTGTCGCCACGGACTGGCACGCAGCGTTTGTGTAAAACGCCGTTTCTAGGGCTTGCATGGCCGCCAGTTGGTCCGAGATCGGGTCCAAGTAGCCCACTTGCAGGCGCTTCCGGGTCGCTTCCGGGAGGGTCTTGGCAAATTCCTCCAGGGACTGCACGATCGAGGCCGCATCGTGCAAACTCGCGTGGAAATTGGCCATCGTCGGCCCAAACAACGTCGCGTTGGCGGGACACTCGACAAAGAACGAAATGGCAGAATCGTTGTGGAACAGCAACTTTGTGTTTGCGACAGGGGCGACACAAAAGTCGGCCGACTCGATCGAGTTGGACAAATAGATGCCAAAAAGCCCATGAGACGACGGAATCACGACAAGGATTAGAAACACCGCCATGCGTAGCGCCGGGGACATGGACCACCCGATCGCGGAAATCGCGAGAAAACACGCTAGCGTCATGGTCAAAATGATCCCGTTCGTCGACGACTTCATCCAAAAGTACGCTTCTTCCCACTGGTTTGCTAGATGCGAAAAGTTGGAGGGCAGGCCAGAGGTCGAGTTGGCAAACGAGTGCGCAATGTGAACCAATCTACCGCCACAGGGACGTCAATAAACACAAAGAAAACAGTACTGCGTACCGCATGGCCTCCAAGGAAAGCTCGCTAGCGTTTGCCGGTAACGAATCATGGAACGACAGCAGCATGTCGTCTGTGTTTGCTCGCACTTCTTGCGCGAAGACCGAGACGTTCGTCCCAATGCCATGGATAGAGTGAAATGTGTTCGAAACATTGTGCATGCCATACGACATACGGTGAACGCTGTAATCCACTTGAGCTTCGGCTAACAATCCCCCCAAAGCACTCAACGCGGTGAAACCGAGCAAAAGGACGGCAAAAATGTCGTTTGAGCCTTGGTGGGTCCAATTACGTCGAAGACGAGTGTACGCAGCATATGACGGAGGGGCGCGGCTGGGGGTCGCCGAGCCCAATGCCATGACACGACGAACCACAATCAGGAGCAACATGGCCATGATGAGAACGCCAACGCCAAAGCACCCCAACGTGACATGGCGCAGGAATTTCTTATACGCTGGGTCATAGGGCGAGAAGTTCTCAGGGCCACCAAACACTCGATGGAAGTCATGAAGGAAGCTAATCGCTTCATCGGCGGCGCTAAAGTTCATCGTGACGGCGCCGGCGGTTGGGACGAAGGCACTTGCCACCTCCGAAGAATTTCGATCGATCTTTCCGAAAGAAACGAATGCCCAGGACAGAATAAAATACAAATTCCATACTCCTTACAAAACTGGAATATTACAATAAAATGAAGGACGAGAAGAAGTCCGGAATATATTATCCGGGAACCTAACCCTCGCCAAATTTGACAAAAATCTTGATACATTTTTGCGAAAATTCGCTGACTACCGAGTCGCGTCGCCATACCAACACACACCGAAACTGAGGCTGCTCTGTCAGTGGCAGCATGTTCAGACCCCTGGATGCCAAATGCGCAGGGAATTATCATCTCTACGGCAGCCTTCATGACTCGCATGCATGGCTCGTAGCGTCGTATCGATAAAGTAGATTGCAGTCGCCGCACTAAACTTCTGCGGACCCTGGCCGCAAACGTCATGCGAAATACGACCAACCGCAGTGTCCTATGCGGTATGCACGCTGAGAGATGTCCATCAATGCAGCGCATTTCCAAACACGCTTCGTACGATCCAAAGGTGCCGTCGCGATCGCGCAACACGTTGTTCTCGACAAACCTCGCTCCTGCTGTGCGCGTGCTAGAGGTAACAACCCCAACAGCGTTCAAACCACGGCCAAATCGACCGATGTCGGTTTCCGGTCCATCACCGTGGGCCCATTGACTGAACTCAAGTCGATCCCGACTCCGGTCACACAGGCTTCGGCAGTGGCCGTCTTGGCTCTGCCAGCAAGCAATCGCGTTCCTTCGTCGCTACGACGTGCCTACTCGCTGCTCCCTGGTGCCAATGCGCAGCCGAGCTGCCGTTCAAGTGTGTGTCAGCGCAAAACCCCCTCGTGCCATCGACTGGCATGCCTCGTCACTTGGGTACATGTAGACGTCATCCGTGTACCGTATCGGCATCATTCATGTTGACGAAACGACGTCGCGTCTGATTGGCTAAATTGGGAAAATGGGTCAATACATGCATTTTCGCATATCACACACCAAGCAAGGAATTCTCCTTGTACGATGCGCTGACGTCACGGGTGGCATGCCACAATAGCATCCTCGGTGTGTGCTCGATCCTCGAGGAAAAATGCCACGTCAAATCCGCGGCCCTCGTATCCTTTACTTGCCCTCGTTTCCAGCAGCGATGAGCAAGAACGCATAGCATTTTTTAAAATGACCCCTCCTCATCTGGACACCGCCTATAGTTTGTCCCAGTGACTTGTTGACCCACGGCGTGATAAAAAAAGCTCCATGGAAACCCTCATTTCGTTTTGGCCATCATGGAACAATCATTGGAGAACCTCTCGACATCATCGAGGTTGACCGCGATTGAAGCGGACGTCCAAGCGTTCCTCGCGTCCCTGGAGACGCTAAAGAAAACCACCACCCTCGCACAACGGAACCACGAGCGCAAGAAGCTGTACAAGATTGTGGAGTTCATTCGGTTGGACATTGAAGAAGAGCTCCTAAAGTTGCACGAGTCCCTTCTGACAGAGCCTGGCGCGACTGCACCGTCCGATGAATTATCTCAGTGCAATGATCCGATTGTGGTAGGCTTTGCCACGCGCCTGGACACCCTTCGCACGCTCTTGACCCTGGAAATTCAACCGTCGAACCGATCCATCGTCGAAAAAGTGTACATGTTCGTGCGAGCCGCGACCTTTGCGCTCATCATGTTTGGCGGCTTCTTCATCGTGTGCTTTTTGGTGCCTCTTCGATGGATGCACTTGATTTTGCGAAAACTTGGCGTGCCCAACTACTACTTACCCATGGATTGGCTTCAAACTGCGTTCGGAATGGCATTGTGCGTCGCGGCGGGCATCCAAGTGTCAATTTCTGGCCGAGACAACATGAAGATGGAAAATCTCAAGGACTCGACGATCCTCATGTTCACGTAGTGTGCCGTCCATGCGTTCCGTGGGACGCCACTCTGATTCATCTCCATGTAGCCACGGCTCCAACTTGGACGGGCTCATGATCCAAGGCACATCGCCAACGTCGCTCAAGTTTATCGGGAAAAAGGCCTTATTCATGCTTCCCATTGTCGGATGGGGCTTTCGTTGGGGATTTGGGAACATTCCCATTGATCGATCGAATCGGTACTGCCTTCGTCGATTGGATTGTTAGGACACGTCACCAATTCCACGCTCGCAGGGAAGCGTCGAAGCGCAGCTTGAAAGCTCTGGCAAAAGCTGTGATCGAGTATGGTCGGTCCGTCGCGATCTCCCCGGAAGGGTCACGGTCTAAGAGCGGCCAAGTACGACCCACTCGCATTGCTCCATGCTCAATTTGCATCTAGTTGCAAGATTTCAAGAAAGGTCCGTTCTACCTTCAATCGGATGTCAACAAGTCGATCACCCCGGCTGTCGTCCACGGCGCGTTTGAGCTGTGGCCGCCCGGTCGAATCTTCACGCTGTCCGGGAAAGCGCATGTTGAGTACCTTCCCCAGTTCCAAGTCGACCCGACCAAATCTCGCAATGCGAACCGTCTCGCCCTGCGCCGCGTTTACTTGACCGCGTTGGCCAAGCCCGTGCCAGGTTCATTTTCGCTACTCAAACCATCCGTAGTCCTGATGTGAGGCGTGTGTAGACGACTTGTCTACAACTCCAGATGCCCCCCACGTCCTTCTGCACTTGTGGTGCATTCTGTTCCTTTGGGTGATCATTCCCGGAGGCGTGTCCATCATCTGCGCGGCGATTTCAGGCGTCACCAGTGTCCTTGGGATCTCGACGGGATGGGGCACTTTTCAGTTTGTCGCGTCCGTGATGGTGGGACTGGAGACACTCATGCATTTTACATGTTAATGAAATATATAACACGAGGAGGGCAATATGGAATCTGTGCGCAAGCCTTGCTCGTCTGTCGATGAAGAAATCTTGCTACTTGGCCGCCGGCGTCTCTGTAATGTCCCTTGCGGCGTCTTCTGCGGCAGCTTTGAATGGCTCGGCGGGCGACGTCGTCGACGAATGCGAAAACAACCGCTGGGCTTGTACCGCCGCCTCCAATTCGGGTGTGTCCACCTGGGCCTCGTCTTTCGCCATCTCGGCCACAAACACATTCGCGTCTGCATATCCCTTGACAATGTTTCCTGCGTGCTGGCTCCGGCGGAGGTATGATCCTTCAAGTTCATAGATCTGCTTCTCCAGTTGGGTCAGTTCTTCCTGTTCGTCCGATCGCTTGCCCATCCAAGCTCTCAGTTCCTCATCCATCTTGCGCGTTTCTTCGTCCATACTCATGGTCGCTTCAGCCTCGTCGTCCAAGACGTCGGTTTTGGCGATCTGGTTGGGGGCAGTGTTGACTGCTTCTTCGTGTTTGTGTTTGGCGGAAGTGCCACCTCGCGGCGACCGACGACGACGCACAGCGTCTGAATGGGACTCTTTTGAGTCGATATCTATCGTGGGGACTGTATTCTGCCGAGGATATCGTCGAAGTGTGGACTGCTTGACGGAAACTGCAGCTTTGGATTTCTTAGACGGTGGCAGCGTCACTGGGGTTTCGTCGACTTTGCGCTTGTCAGACGTGGGCGACTTGGAGTCACTGTTGCATGCGCAGGAGCACTTTGAGCACGCCGTACATACTGCGCACCGCCGCGCCCTGCATCGACATGTCAGCTTGGCCCAGACCTTGGTGCCTCCCGAGGACGCCTGTGACTGTTCGGATACGGGTTTCGGATTATCCGGACGTTTGGGCGATGGGTTGTGCGATGTGGCGGCAGCGGCATCTTCATCTTTCGGCGTCGTCATTGAACTCTGGGGAGGATCTAGTTCATTCGTGCGCGATGCACGCCGTCTGGCACTAACAATTTCGTATGTGGACCCGCCTTCCGTCGTCTTGGGCCAGTGGTTCGAAGGTGACATCTTTGTCGACCCGTCGATTGGTTGCAAAGGGCGCCGGGGTAGTTCATTGCAGGCGCATTGGCACTTTATGCACAATTGGCAGTCCGTGCATCGTCTAGCCTTGCAACGACACTTGACAGGCGCGGTCGTCTTGGTTTTCGTTCGCTTGTTCGACTCGGGGACAGACTGCACGGGCGCCGCCGCCGCAGCATCCATCGCCTGTACTACTCGGGTGGTTTTAATGAGCTTCATTCTCACCTGCATTCTTACGACATAAAATTCGGATAACTCCAACATTTTTCCGGACAATACGAGTCATTTCGACGCTGCATTGATAGTGGATCCTGCCGTGATGCGGTAGACGCCGAGCTGGACGACAACCCAACGGGGCTCCCTTCGCCTTTCCATCCATACTCTGACAACTAACCCCTCGGTTGTCACATTAGCGTAACCTCAAATCACCAATTTGCGAGCACATGAGTCGGTGTTTACATTACGAATGCATGGGTTTCGACTAGCCAGGGACAGGCACACCGTTCATTCTGCGTGGAATTTGACCACCTGCCCCTTCAGCACCAACTTTAGCATCAACTTGCCGCCATGGAAGAGCCCATAAAGCGGAAAGCACGCCCAGAACGTCAGGATCATCCAGTAGAATCGCCAGTTGAACAGCGTTTGCCGAATGTCCAAGCTCAGGCATTGCTGGGCGGCCAAGAAGTTTGCCGGGAAATTCATCGCATACCACGAAAACCATGCGTTGAATGGATTCATGATTGTTTTGGCGACGGTTCCAGCAGGCTCGTCCGAAAAGCGCTGCTCCAGAATTGCCTCGCCCACAGCGTGATATCCCTTGGTTTCCCAGAATCCTGCGACCACCTCGTCACAAAATTCGAGCCGCACGAGCCATTTGGCGCTTTTGTATCCATACAATCGAGGAAACCAAATGCGGACGCTGCCATGCTCGTGGCCCAGTGGCTTCCTTTCGCCCGTCGCACTCTCTTCGACCTCGAAAACCAAATATCCTTCATTGGCCTCCACCGCGGCTCGTGGTAGCGACGTCGAGTACTTGTCCGCCCCATATTGCACCATAGACTTCCATTTCGCGTTGGCAGCATAAATCGGTACGATAGGCGCAAGAAGCGACGACACAGGAATGCCTCGCAGACGAAGTCCAGGAAACGACCAACTCGTTACGCAATGAAAATCCATGGCGTCCAGAGTGCGCACGTCCTTGGAAGCTTGAATATCCGACATTTTGATGTACGAAGTCGTGCTTCCGTGTACAACTTGCAAACGCCATGCATCATTGAAGGCAAAGTGGAATCGACTTGGTCGAATGTCCAAGACAAGCCACGCTTGCCCTTTGGTTTGACCAGGAGGCAGCGATGACTCCAACGATTTGCGAACTTTGACTGGTCGTTCTTTTTGCCTCTGGCAATGATTCAGCTTCTTTTGGACGTGCTTGCGAACGTTCGGGTCATTCTCGTCAGGACCGCCGTGGTTCCGCGGATGCGACGTAGTGGTCATCATGATTTCGTCATATTATTTGAATGAATTGTTCAGAGAATGTATTTCGGAATATCCAAGTTTCCCATGTACTGATTCAAGAGAATATTGTTGGAAGTCTTGGTTTGACCATTTCTAAAGTGCTCTCACCAAACCGACCCAACGTTCAATTGCGACCACCAGACCGTCGCCATCACGAGCTGCGAGGTATACGGCCCTTGACGTACGGCTACGACTCCGGGTGCGCTTGGTTCTGGCAACCACAAGGCTCCTTGCCTCGACTACCACCACGATGTCCTCAATCCTATTCAGCGATGAGTGAATGTTGAAGGCGCAACGCAGCCCGGGAGATGATGGGCACATGAACTGATGTGTTTGGTCATATCGATACAATCCAAAAGCGAAATGGATGCCGCCACTGTGGATATCTGCCATTGGCATACCTTGGCGATGGCTTAACCTCAATGGGGCAAATCGATGCAATGTTGATGCACTTTATAACCCTTGTGGTTGGAAATCTGATAGCACATGCATGAATTGATGCAGCTCGAAGATCGACATCGATATCTCTGATGCCACTTGCATTACACGAGCTAG